AAAATATTATACTATTCAACGACTTCAATGATGATATGATTACACTTCCTCGAAATCTCCGGCTATCGGACATAATGATTCCTTACAAACATTATACAGACTTTATTAAACTAATAAACATTATTATACAACGCTGAACACGGAGATGAGAAATGAATACAAGAATAACGTTGTCCCTACGGCTCGGAAAGTTGAAAATTACCATGGAGCACGGTAGAATGGTTTTATTCTGATCAAAATGAATTTGTTCATTCATTTTGATCCTAATGAACCTTCTCGACGGGCCCGGAAAAAATCAAGTGTCAGTACCAGACATTTTGCTGCCAAATGCAGGTATTTTTCAGGGTAAGAGTGAATAAAACTCATGTAGTCCGTACGCCAGGGGCATTTCGGCGTGCACTAAATTATCCAGAAGATTTTGTCATTGGACTTTATGTTTTTAGGGCCACTCATTATAAATATGATAACTGTGTTTGCGAAATCAAGAGCAGTCTATTGATAACAATTTGATTGTTCAAAGCGCGAGATTACAGAAACAGTTGGAGATAGGAGAAAAAGTTTTAAATAAAAAATGTTCGTTGTGGAATATTGGATATATTTTTCCTTAAAATTGTTCCTCATAGCTATCTCGGCTGGTGAGATATCCTAGATATAGTTCCAATGGGAGACGCGCTGGCACCACGGCAGCGTGCTCCGAAATATTTCTTAGAAAAATGGCTGGAGGAGGCAAAAAATGGTTGAGATAAACAATTTTCATTACATAAAGATACGTCAGAACAGTTCGTGGATTTTTCAATTATTTATAGTAGTTTTCGCGATAATCAAATTTTGAAGAATGCTCATTATTTTTGCGAAATCATGTGCTGTTATACTAATCTTAGCGTTCAAAACACAATACCCCGGAAGGGGTTGGTGATGGGAAAATTTTTTTAGTGATTGTCGTGTGAAATATCCGGAAACTTAATATCGCATCAATAAATCACACGGTAAGTTCTGTCTTCCAAACTTTCTCGTTGACTTTTCATAAGTATTGTAAAGAATTGTAGGAAATTCGTGGCGCTATCCAAAGATTCCCGAGAACTTCAAATAGTCATGAGCAAGACAAAGATCCAGAGCCTTATTTTATTAATGGAACGACAGTGAGGTGCAGATTTATGGTTTAGCATAGGTTTAATTTAAGTTGCTTTTATTTAGTTGACGATCATAGTTATTTTGGATTGGCTTAAAGTGAGTTGTGTAATTGTTTTATTTATTGTCCTTGTTCGATGCCGAATCTGGTCTGAGTGGAATTAGGAAGCGTTGGGCGAGATAAAAACGGATTTTTCGGGAGCGTGAGAAGGTCCAGAAATCACTACACATGGCGTTGGTCACAAAAGTCAATTTAATTTAAACGAAGTCAAAAAAATACACTTGTTAGATTTAATTAATTGAGAAGGTCAAGAATATTAGCGCGGGTCACAAAATTATTAAGACAGTTCAAAGAACTAAATGACGCAGAGCAACTAATTCGCGTAACAATAGAATAATTCGCAGAACGAAATGTACANTGTTCGATGCCGAATCTGGTTTAAGTGGAATTAGGAAGCGATGGGCGAGATAAAAACGGATTTTCCGGGAGCGTGAGAAGGTCCAGAAATCACTACACGTGGCGTTGGTCACAAAAGTCAATTTAATTATCGAAGTCAAATATTTACACTTGTTAGATTTAATTAATTGAGAAGGTCAAGAATATTAGCGCGGGTCACAAAATGATTAACACAGTTCAAAGAACTAAATGGCGCAGAGCAACTAATTCGCGTAACAATAGAATAATTCGCAGAACGAAATGTACACAGTACGATGGCCGATATGCAAATGAGACCGATTGAAAGACCGCAAGGTAGCAGGTGTCGATCATCGTGGGTCCAAACGCGCCCCAATTTAAATGGGGGATATCTCATGGTTACGTCATATGGCGGGTATCCAACACTTCTTGAAGCAGTGTCGACTGCAAAATAATCTCGCTGGACCGAGCAAAGGCTTTTGGGAAAAATGCTGTGGCTCGGGGGGTG